AATTATTTTTTATATTTACTTTCTTGAGTAAATTAAAGAAAAGTATTTTTTTTGTCAAATTTTACATATAAATTTGGGTGAGTCAACTCATTTGATTTATATATAACAACATTTTGAACCCCTGTAGGGGGACATGTCCTGTGTCTGCTATTTCTATATTTCACTATTCTTATATTATTGCTGACTTTACTAGCATGTTTCTTTAAGCTTGGTGGATCTTTGATTCATGCAACCTTATCCATCCAGGTACTGCATATTTCTTGAAGATCACTATTACTCAGTTCATATCTCTTTACCTCTGATATTTTCGACTTTCAACATTCAAACTCTATATGCACTAATAACTTTCTAGTTATTTTTATATATCTCTTTAATAGCACTATTCTTTTGTTTTACTGGGCTTTTATTACATTTTAGTACACTAAAATAGGCCTTAAATGATTCATCTTTTTTTTCCACTTTATACTTAATTTCCAAAGTTTTACAACTATCAGTTGGTTTGCCTTTTCCAACACCTATTCTATTTAATTTGCTTTTGATATAACTTTTGACTTTGTTATCACTTTTGTAGTATCATATAAGCAGGATTTTTGGATAACTTATATGAGTTTCAGGTTTGTTCTTTTCAGCCCTTATTTTGTTCTTATTTTCATTTTAAGTAATGCTTATACTGTTTTGGTAACAATGTTCAAGACTCCATGTTGCACCAGTATGGCCCATATCTGCAGGCTTTTTGATAGTTAATAAATACTTTAGATTCATATCTGACTCCAATTCTATTTTGATAACTATAACCAAGCTTATTTATTTTTATAACATAACTCATTTTTGCTATTTTTTAATTAACAACAAATATTTAATATTCATCTTTTTCGACACAAGACTCAGCCACTTTTCCTCTATTGAACACTACTACATTATTGTATTATCATCACATTATTCTTCTACAGCCATTTTACTGCTAGCTCATATCACTCAGTTTATCTTCTCTTTTAGTCTAACTGGTATGATTTATATTTTCAGAGTCTAGACACTTTATAAGTGATTTGTATTCATCTTTTCTAATTTCTATTTCATTTTGATAATGATATTTGAGGTTATATGTTTTATCATTATAGCAAGTTTTTTTAGATTTTTGACAATCATCAAATACCTTTTATCCTTCTTTTTCAACTTTAATTTCATTCCAATAACAATGAACAATTCCAGAAAAAGCAGGTACTGAAATGTTATTGATTGCCTTACATTTATCTTTCTTAATCCTTATACTATTTTAACAGCCATATTCAAGATTAAAATAAACTTTGAATATCTTTTAATGAATCCTTTGAATTATTCATCATTGTATGATCATCAGACATATCCTTTTTGAGTTTTTTTTTTTAGTTATTACTATCATTTTGGCATACATTTGCTCTTTTACTTGAACCTCTTGCTCATTACCTTTAGATCTTTTACTCTTTTGTTCTTTTTTTTAATTTTATCATCTTGGTTAGCTATTACAGAAGAGTCAATAAACTTTATTTTTTTTTTTTTTAGCTTTCTTTTTATCCATACTAGCTTTTTGCCCATGCCTTCATCACGGGAATTCAGTTATTACTTTAAAAATTACTTGCTTCAAGTAATTGAAGTTAGTTTCATCAGAATTATCTGACTTCTACTTCTAATATAAGCACTATTCTAGCAACAATAGTTTATAGTTTAGATTGAGTTTATATTTGAATTATAGTAATTCCTCTTATGAGTTGCTACAAGAAATTCTGTAACAAACCTCATTTGCTATTCTAATAATCAATAAAGAGTTGCTATAAAATATCATTTCTGTTAAAGAATTCACTATTCTAATTAGCATAATATGTATTTAAGGTCAAGTTAGCTTGTATCAAATTATGTAGTTTCTATTATGAGCTTAAGTAGCAATAGTTTGTAGTTAAATTTGAATTAGTTTTTTATCATGAGTTGTATAAAAAATTCTGTTACAAAATTTTCTTGCCACTTTGGTAATTATATGTAACAAATTTGAATTATCATAATTTTCATTAAGAATTACTATAAAAGATCTTGTTAAAAAAATTGCTATTCTAGTGAGAAATAGTATATAGTCAAGATTAAGTTGAAGTTTTCATGATTTTATTATAAATTACTATAAAAAATTCATTTGTTGAACTTATTATTCTAGTAATATATAGTATATAGTTCACTTTTGCATATTAAAGATAGAGTTCTCCAGAATGGCTATTAATTTTGTAGTGGCACAGCTGCAAGTTCTATGTAAATCGTGGTGTAGCTGCAGCAAAATTCATATCAGATACTATGATGATTTTTTCGTTATACTTATTTTACCCTTTTTCTACTACATTAAGTTATCTAAAATATTTCTTGCCTGATTAATTTCTTTAATTAACTAAATATTGAGAAAAAGCTTTGACAAGTTATCATCTTTTTTTTTTTTTTTTTATAAATTCGGCAGTCATGCTTTAACTTTATTAGGCTTTGTATGAATCTTCTAGACTCATAAAATTTTACACTAAGTTGCATTTTAGAAGGTAAGTGATAAACTCTTAACTTGTCGGCAGATAGCATATGAGAACT